AGGGTGGGGGTGCGCGGAATAAGGATTGTCCTCATCGCGCTCCACAACCAACGCCGCACTAACCACTTGCGGGGTCGCCGCTAAGTAGAGTAGCAAGGGTTCATTTGGCTCCGGGGCGACCAGAACTGGGGGAGAGCTGAGATACGCCTTCAACTGAGTGAGGGCACGTTCAGCTTCCTCCGTCCAAGTAAACGGCCCGGAGCGTTTGAGGAGCTTAAATAAGGGTAGCGCCTTCTCTCCCAGCCTCGATATGAACCGACTTAGGGCGGCCATGCAACCGGTGACGCATTGCATATCCCTAAGCTTGCTGGGGGGGCGCATCCGCTCTATAGCTCGTATCTTCTCGGGGTTGGCCTCGATGCCTCGGGCAGAGACCAAAAACCCGAGAAGCTTGCCCGCAGGTACACCGAACACGCACTTATCGGGGTTCAGTTTTATGCGGGCGGAGCGGAGACTCTCAAAAGTTTCCGCTAGATCCGAGAGTAAGGTCTCTTGGTTGCGCGTCTTTACAACCAAGTCATCGACATAAGCCTCAACATTACGTCCTATTTGGCTACCCAAAGAAATTCGAGTAGTGCGTTGAAAAGTAGGACCTGCATTCTTTAACCCGAAGGGCATTGTCGTATAACAATAAGTTCCTATGGGGGTAATGAATGCAGTTTTTTCCTCATCCTCCCTAGCCATGCGAATCTGATGGTAACCAGAGTATGCATCTAGAAAACACAAAAGGTCGCACCCCACTGTGGAGTCGACAATCTGATCTATGCGAGGCAGGGGGTAAGGGTCCTTAGGACATGCCTTGTTAAGGTCGGTGTAGTCGATGCACATCCGAAGCTTGCCGTTCGCCTTGGGAACGACCACCGGGTTCGCCAGCCACTCCGGATGGATGACCTCGCGGATGAATCCGGCTTCCAGAAGTCGCGCCACCTCCTCGCGGATGAAGGCTTGACGTTCCGGGGCCTGCCGCCGTACTTTCTGCCGGACCGGCCTTGCGCCCGACCGCACGGCGAGACGATGCTCAATCACCTCCCTGGGGACCCCGGGCATATCCGCCGGTCTCCATGCGAAGACGTCAGCGTTTGCCCGCAGGAAAGAGACGAGCGCGTCTTCCTATTTGCCGTCCAGAAGACCACCGATCCGTGTGGTCTTGGACGAGCCGTCGCCCAGGGCAACCTCCTTGACCGGGACCTCGTCGCATGTGACTATCCGCTGCCTCGGGGCGGCGGGGGCGGAGGTGCCAAGCCTCTCGTCGCCTCCCTCGGGCTTGGACGCGGCGGTGAGGTGGTCCGCGCGCTGCTCCATACAAGCAAGTGCGACTTTGAGGTCGCCATGGACAGAGATGGGGCCACCGGGGCCCGGCATCTTCATCTGGAGGTAGGCGTAGTGGACTGCCGCCATGAACTTCACCAACGCGGGCCTCCCTAGGACCGCGTTGTAGGGCAGACTGAGGTCCGCCACATCAAAGTTAACCCGCTCCGTGCGGAAGTTGGCGGATCCACCGAAGGTGACCGGGAGGTCGATATGACCTAGCGGCCAAGTATGACCCGGCGTCACACCGATAATCGGCTGGGACGGCCGGAGCACCATCCCCGGGGCCTTGATAGCGTCAAAGGCTGCGGGGGAAAGGATGTTGAGGGCTGCTCCCCCATCAATGAGGACACGCCCCAGCTTCACGTTGCAAACGGTGGGGGAAACCACCATTGCGATCTGTCCTCCCCGGGCAACGCACGGTGGGTGGTCGGTCTGGTCGAAGGTGAGGGCAACCTCCGACCACCGCGCCCGGCGCGTCGCCTCATGAGTAGGGGCCGTGGCCAGAAGCTCTCGCTTCATGGCCTTGAGGCTCCGGCGAGAAACGTGAGCACACGCTCCCCCATCGACAGTGGCAATGGTGGCCCCAGGCTCTTGGAAACCTAGGTCATCATCATCGTCATCGATGTCCTCGGCGGGGGCCTTCTGCTTGGCCTCACTTCGCCGATTGCCGGAAGGAACCGCCGGGGACTTGCCCTCTCGGTGCTCCTGCCTCCTCTCCTCCTCCCATTTCCTCGTCCGCTCAGCCAAACTTTTGACTGCGCGGCAGTCCGCGAGGTCGTGAAGGGAGGTGTTGTGGACGATGCACCACTTGCCGGTTGGGCGCTCCCTACTAGGAGCGCCGGCCTCCTTCTTTTTGTCGCTCGCAGGCCTCCCCTTTCGGGTGGCCCGCGAAGCGCCCTCGACGGCGAGGACATGACCCTCGTCGTCGGAATAGGCTGACCTCTTCTTCCTCCTCCTGTCACGCCGCCCTGTCCGAGCAGGGAATCCGGGGGCGGCCAAAGCTGCCACACCGGAACCGGAGGGGTTCCAGGTCCATGCCTCTTCCTTTCGAGCCACTCGGTCCGCGAGCTGAAAAAGCTCCGCGGTAGTCTGGGGCTCTTTGGAGGCGATCTTTTCGAGCATGCGGTTGTGCCGCACACCCCCCCCTGAACGCGTAGATCACCGCGTGTGCAGGGATGCATGGTATGGTGTTGCGGACTTGACAGAACCGCTGAATGTATGAGCGAAGTGACTCATCATCCCTTCGCTGGACTGCATGTAAGTCCGCTTCTTCACCTGGGCGCGGATATGTGCCTTGAAAGTTCATGGTGAACTGTTGGCACAAATCCTCCCAAGAGTGGACGGACGCGGGTGGCAAGTTCATTAGCCAACCCCGTGCCTGTCCCTTCAGGGCCATGGGAAAGAAATTTGCCATGACCCTGTCGTCACCCCCGGCGGCCTCGATCCCGGTCTTGTAGACCTGGAGAAACTCGGCGGGGTTGACACTCCCGTCATATTTTTCGGTGATGGTGGGCCGGAACCTTGGGGGCCAACGGACGTTCCGAAGGCTCGCCACGAAGGCTCTACAGCCGACACCACCAACCGGGGGCACGGAGGGTGATCCCCGCGTCCGTGTTGATGTGACACTCCGGACGAGGAGGCGCCCTCCGTTGCGTGGGCAGCACGCCGGCCATTACGCCGGCGCTTGATACTGATGCGGGCATCCGGCCCCCCACGCAGATCTTCCTGGGTCGGAGGCGCTGACGAAGGAGTGGCGGCTGAATGGCGAGCAACAACCGCCGCTCGCCGCGCCCTCCGCCTTGACGACACGGAGCCGGTGGTAGCAGCGCCAGAGGTCTTGGTGGCGGAGGACCGCCCACCAGCACCTAGGCGCTGCCGTGCCGTCATGACCAAGTTGGCCACGTCGTCTAGCCAACGTTGGGCTGGAGACTCCGGGTCAGGGACAATGGGCGGGTGACGTAGGAGCGCGCCCGCAGCTTGGAGTGCGCCCTGGGGCGTGCTGCCGTCGCCGTGGACGAGGAGGCGACGCTCCCCATCTCGCTGCCCTTCCCCATCACCCGTGGATGTCGAAGTCGCGGATCCTTCGACCCTCTCGAGCGCCTCCTCCCGCCTAGGACTTTGGCGTGGAGGGGGCGGTGGAGTACGAGCTCGACGGCGTGGGTTCTGCTCCCCGTCGTCACCGCTAACACTCGGAGAGAGGTTGTGCGCCTTTGCTTGTTCGGCCATTGGGCTGAACAGGAAAAGCTTGGCGCACACGAAAGAATGCGAGAGCTTAGAAAAACACACGCAAAGCCCCCTACCTGGCGCGCCAGATGACGGAGCGTGGGGCTCCTCACCGGGAGACCGCGCAGGCCCCCCTTTGCCGGTTCGGCCGGGGGCCCTGGGTGAGATTCTAAGCTCCTAGTCTTTGTGTGGAAGGTTCGCGAGAATGGAAACACACAAGACACGGGCGATGTATACAGGTTCGGGCCGCTGAGAAGCGTAATACCCTACTTCCTGTGTTTTAGTGGATCTATGTATGAAGAAGCTACAAAAGAGCTGGAGAACCAGAGAGCTCTTACTTTCTCCCTCTCTGATCTTTCTAGATCCGAAAATCCCCCTCTTCTAAGTGGGCAAGGTCCTCCTTTTATACCTCAAGGGGATACCACATGCACCATCTCTCTCTTTTTTGTGGGGACTTATCCTATCTTTTCATAAACAGACGGAGACTTGTATGGTTGCCGTCCGAATGACCTTCTGATGGGACAGCCCATACCTACCTCCACTTCCGCCGAAAGCAGGCGCGACGTGGGAAAATGGCTGTCTGCTGACGACATGACCAGTGTCAGACCGGTCATAAATCGGTCATTCTTGTCCACCACGCGTCAGTCTATAAATCTGCATGTTCGCCCTTCTTCATACAATATCTTGCCTGTAATGGTTAGGATGAAGCCTGGCATATATCTGACCGGAACCAACGTGCCATCTCCAGGAGCTAACACGCCGGCTCCGGCTAGGGACGAGTGCTTGGAGGCTCTCGTCCTGACGGGATGGGGCGAGGCGTGCGTCAGACCGCCTGTCGCCACCTAACCCACGATCTGATCGGTCTGTGACTGGTCACTGACCGGATAAACGAGCGCGCTGCACTGCGTTACATGCGGCGTGACGCGCTCGTCCAAACCGCAATAAATGTGGTTAGGTGAGCCCCGCTATGCTCACCTACCCCATATACGCGGCGCAAAACCCACAAGGGGTCGGGGCGCCTCGGCCCTCGGGGCCGAGACGGGAGCGGTCCAACCCCTCGGGGAGACAAAGAGAAGGGCGGCCGTATCACCCTCGGGCCCGACCCCCCCGAGGGGGTTAGGCCACGTGGGTGATCGTGTCTGCCTCAAGTCTCCAAGTCATGATACTCCCGGTCCCATGTCACCGACACACTCCATCCAGCTGATGAGGAAACTGCTGCCTTCGACTCTTCTTTCGTTAGGCTAATACCAAGCACTATATTGATTGGGATCTCAGGTACACCGGTTTTGCAAGATGAGGGATACTGGGATTATGGCTCGAGGATGATATTTGAACTCGGGGTTAAAATGAGGGATCTTTTCTGACCCACAAAACTGGGCCAGATCACCGGCCCAACTAACACAGGACGCGACGGTGGTCCACTCTACCAGCCGGCCGGACGGCCCACCAGTTAAAAGGAACACTTCACACCTCCTCCTCCAATTCACAGCTTCACATCACACCTCGTCTCCTTCCCCACTTCTCTCCTCCTCCTCCGCTTCTAGGGTTTAGGGTTTTTGCCGGCCACCATGCGCCACCTCGCCCGCCTCCTCAACAACCGCATCCTCCTCCCCGCCTCCTCCTCACCCGCGGCCGCCTTCTCCAAGCGTACCTACGCCCGCCGCACCAAGCCGGCTCCGCCGACCGCCGATGCGGCCGCCCCCGCCGCGGTGGAGGGGGAGGGGGAGGAGGAGAGGGGGCCGGGCTGGCAGAGGGAGAAGCTCCCCGCCGAGATCCCCCGGCCGTCCACCATCGCGTTCCAGCCGCGCGTCGCCAACGCCGTGCGCCTCGTCGGCACCGTCGGCGCGCCCGTGCAGCTGCAGCGGTTGCCCGACGGCCGGTTCTCCGCCGTCTCGGTGCTCGTGCAGGACCGCCACGCTGATTACCCCAAGTTCTGGTACGGCCATCGCTTCCCCTCCCTATGTCTATCTATCTACGCACTGCGTCACTGTGATCGGTCGGTACTTGGCGGTGTTTGGGACTGAAGGAGGCTGAAAATGCTGTAGCACAAACCGCCTATGCCTTTTTGTTGCATGGTTTTGTGCCATTTGTTTCCCAGACGAAGTAAACTATGTGTAGAATTGGGGGTGAAATATGTAGAATGGGTAAAGTATTTTATTTCAGGACTGTTTGGTTTGTGTTTTGGTACCGTCAAACAGTTTGGTTTGGTATGATTGGCAAAGTTGCTGACATCAACTTTGGATGGAACGGAAAATATCAATATCTTCTAGTACCTCTTTGTTTTTTCCCTGCAAAATGCATTGATAGTGCATTTGCAGGGATTTATCGTAATAACAATTTCCTGGAAGACATTATCGGGCTAAATGTTTGGCAATGGAACATGGTCAACCTTTGTTGCTATTATATCAAGTCTGAAAATGCGCGCAAATTTTATCATCAGTGATGGCTAAACTTGATCACGCAGGTCCAGAAAGTTCCAGCGATCAGCACACAGTAGCCTTGCCTTGTTCCTAGTGTGTATTTGACTTGACATGTTCGATTCTATGGAAGGAAACACAATCGTTTGCAAGTTCAGTGTTCACTTTTCTTGGATACCTCCCTGACCGACTTTCCATTTTCAGGATTCCCATAATATTCCAAGATGACTTGGCACAAGTTGCCGCGTCTCACTTGCAAGAGAAGGACCATATATATGTGTCTGGGCAACTAACTGGAGATATCCCACCGACCAAACTTATGGATGGCCAAGCAAACATTCAGGTATGTAGCTACTGGACATTCTTTGTTGAATAATATTAGTGCCAGGAAATATAATGCTGTTCTTCTTCCGTATAACACATGATAGAAACTTCCTATTTGTCTCTTGTACTTGGCCATACTGAAACCTTTTCAGTTCATTCAATATTAGAAATGACATGTAATCAGATCAGACGATGTCTTCTCTCTTTTATTCTTGTGTTCACAAGTTTACCTTTAACCAGCTACTACTTTGCTTTTGCATCTTGTGGTAACGAAAATACTACCAATTATATTATAAGTTGATAGAATAGACAATCTAATGCGAGATATGCTGCTCAGAAAGTCGAGTGGGTCTGTGGGCTATGTTGTGTATCATCTCTTCACAATATTCTTTTTGCTAACGTTGTTATTTTTTTTCTCTATTTAGTACTTTCATGAAGTCTTTCCTCAAACAGAAGAATAAATCTTGCAGCTCTTTTTTTTTTCTCAATAGTGGATGGATTGTTTTAAAGTGAACAATTCTTATTTCCCCGCTTCTTTCTCTTGCATGATATAATTATGTTTCTTATTTTTTTTGTTTATATGATTGGCATAAAATATTTGTACTGATTAATATATTCCAGGTTTTAGCCCAAATGCTATCATTTGTTGGTGGTAAAGCAGTTCAAGCAGATAGCATGGTGGATGAAGAGGAGGGATTTATGCAGATTGTTGAGGCTGAAAAGAAAGTTGAAACTAAAAAATTCATCCCTAAATATCCACCACGCACAGTTTCAGGTGCTGTATTCACTCCCAACTAAATTCATCCCCCCTGCTTCATTATGTCTAAGTTTATCTTCGTCGCGTTGTACCACTGAGAAAATTGTAATAGTGCTTCATTATTGTTCACTATACTCTTGTTAGTTTATTTCTTTGGTTGTGAATTAGGGGCAATGGGCATGACTAACAAAGCAATTTCTTTCAGCCATGCACCTTTATTCACCTGTCCACCAGTTTCACAGTATTGTGAGTCTAGTCAATGAATTTGGGCACCCTGACTAGTAAATTTGTTAGAGAACTGCACAATCGGTCATCCTTTTTTTTAATACCAAATTTTGACCCAAAACAGTAGGGGATCTTCCTTCTTCTACCATGCAGCTCGGATCAGGGATAAGCCACTCTTTTCACTTTGGACCAGATGTGTTTACAAAATGTTCCCCTTCGGACCAGTTCTTCCTCTGGCTCTCCTCTTTTCTGTCACCCGCAACCTTGCTGCTCCAGTGAGCTGGCCCCCATACTCAAGCATGAGCTCGTGACTATCAAGAAGCAGAGGAAAAAATGGGGATGGCAAAGAAGTGAACCTATCGTAATAGCGTGTGGTGTCGGTGCTGCTGGAGCTCACTGCACATTAGTGTGAGGGCAGGGGAGAGCGTACTTACCAACATGGAAATCTCAATATAGAGAGGGAAGAGAGTGGAGGTCGGACAGCTAGAGGAAGAACAGGTCGAATATTTTTCAAAGATCTCTGGTCCAAAGTGATGTGCTGCTTACCCTGGTCCAAGCTGCAAGATTGGTAAAAAAGGGTGCTCCAATGTGCATTTACTCAATTTTTAATCTGTATCTGTTATTTTCTGAATGAAACTTGCAAACATTAGTAGTTTTAACTATTTTTTTGTAGGGTAAATTGTTTAGGTCTATCTTGACACTTAAACTCAAACTGAAGGAAACCTTTTTAGACAACTTTTGTGATGCAAAAGTTGGTGTGCTTGAAATTTTGAGCAGTTGCTCATCAGTACTGAATACTGATTCACACACAGAGTTTAACTAGTGTTACAAAGAATGCAAGACTTTAGGGTTTATTCGGTTTGGAGGAAATTTCAAATCATAGGAATAGGAGAAGTGGAGGAATAGGAATGCATGCACACACCAATACATAGGAGTTTTTCCAAGAGTTTTGAGTGGATGGAAAATTTCGTATGTTTTCTCTCTACAACTTGTAGGAAAGGAAAAATTTCCTTTGGTTTTCCTATACTTACATTCCTACAAACCGAATGACACTCATAGGAATTAATACTTAGGATCCAATACTTTTGTTTTCCTCCAAACGAGCAAGTCCTTACAACGCACACCAACAATGTATGAACCCCAGTATATGCAGACAACATATTGATTGCACTTTTATAGTACACAAGAGGGACATATAGTAAAGATTTCTTATATTCAATTTTTTTCAGCTATGCTTTCCATTGTAAATGAAACTTTTTGCTGTTTTTTATGTTTAATTATATTTCGCAGGTTACAGAAACAAGGATAAGCTAAACAAACTCTGGAATGATGTTGTGGCTAATCCTCAAGACTGGACTGATAACCGACCTCAGAAGAAAAATGGATCTGTGAGCATATTATTCATAAAGTTTGCTTTTGGTGAAATACGGCCTGTCAGCTACTACAACTCTCACCACTTCTCCTTTAAACACAGATAAATGCGAAGTATCCTGACTTCAAAAACAATGTATCAAAAGAGGCACTTTGGCTTGACACTGCACCAAAAGCAGTGCTGGAAAAGTTGGATGATTTAGTATTCAGTAGTGATTTCAGTGCTGCAAAAAAATACAGGCCTTTTGGTGGTGACAAGGGCAATGGTAAAAATTTAACCGTTTGACTTTCACGTCATCTATTTTTATTTCTGGATAGTACTACAAATAGCCTGTACAGGTACAAACTGGGCAAAGAAGAGTCAAGATTCTTCTTCTATCTCAAAACAAAAACAAGGTTTGTATAAGAATTGTTCGTTGTTCACTGGAAGTATTTTACCATATGATGAACACAATAATTGTTTCTGGTCAATCCTTTACATAAGTACCCACTTTCATAATTTGTCCTCGTAAATAAACTGCTCAGTGTTATCTGTTTATATTGCTATTCTGCTTGAGCTCTCATTGAGTCTCCAAGGCATTAACACTTCTCTGCAAACTATTCTGTTCAAGTGCCTGAAATATGTACGAAGATTAATGTATTTTTGCTGTTTTTTATACTCGATAGCTGTATATTTGGTTATCTGTTATACTGCATAATGTAGGATAATATCATGTTTGTCTGCTTCAATTAGTGTTTATGATGTTTTTCTTATCAATATAAACCTTTTTCCCTACAGCAGAAGTTGATTATTTGCATGCAACCTACCTTTTGTGATGGTGTATTGTTTTGTTTCCAGGGGAGTTGTGGCAAGATCTGGTGGACAATCCTGGAAAATGGTGGGATAACCGATCAGATAAGGTGAGTCTCAAAAAACTCGTTTTATGTTTATTATTCCCAGATTGGTGCTAAACATTGCAGATATCTGGTTTGACATGCAGCCTTCAATAAAATATCCTGATTTCAAGCACAAGGAAAATGGCACGCCTCTGTGGATTGGATCCCAGACACCTAAATGGGCTATAGATGCGCTTCCACCGGCAAAACCATCCAAGGCACCTTTTAAGCAAGAGACCTTCCTCTCATGATTTGTAAGAGATCTGATCAGTGGTAAGCCCTTCCCTGTGCAATATGTACCTCAGGTTTGTTCTATTTAGTACAAATATTATAGTTGTCTTAAGGAGCTGGTTCTTTTTCTTTAAGGCAAGTCGCAGTGCCTGCTAATACCTAATTCAGGTAGGTATTAGCGAATGAAATTATTTTGGCTTGACTACCACATGCGTTAATGGAAGCCATGTGGGCCCGGTTTCATTAAGGTTATGTTAGGATGTATATACTAGTCATTCCAATTAATGCCAATACATATCGTCATATCCCTGATTTCAGTTGATCCATTTAGTATTGAAGTCCTTGAGCCCCAGAATTTGGTGAACTGTTACTGGGTTTTGCCATATCTGGGGGACCTGTTCTAAAAACACCTGCCCACGGGCTGGAAAGTACGTTTTTGATACAACTATGGGCCTATTGGGGAATTGTTTTGCTAGGTCTTTCTGTTACTCTCGGCCGATGTACAGAACCTTGACCATGTAGCCTTATTAGCGCCATAGGAATGCTTAGCTTGTTCTGAGTTCTAGCCATCCCCGGTCTTGCTACTGTATTTGTGCAGTTGCTCTTTTCAGTTTTCAATAGAAAAAAAGGAGCACTGTTTCGTGCAAATTTAGAGCAGCCTGGTTGGTGCCAAGTTACAGTTTTTGTTTTGCCTCCTTCAAGATTGGTGGGGTTCCAATCATGATAACTGTCTTGTCACGTTGTGTCGGTGCTCAGAATCAGGAATGATCTTATCATTGGAAATGGACGGCATCGACAACCCTGATGTTCATCTTAGCACTTACTGCAAAGAAGATCTCTGCTACTACCTCTTAGATGCTGGTAATGATGGTCTCTGTTACTGTACTGGAAATCAGACAACCAAGTCCGGTGCTCTACTTGTAGTAGTATCATTGGTCACCTTAGTAGCTAACCGTCGCTGGAGTTCTTAACATTCCATTGGAGAGCGAAGCTCGAGGGGTGATGCATCAAAATGTCGCTGTTGGATGACCCGCCAAGCAAGGCTATACATGGCCCGTATGAGATGTCAACTTCTAAAGACAGAAGTGTAGTTATCAAGTGCAACCATCACTGATTGGTGTGCGAACATCTTATCTCTGGAGATGACCCATTATTCTCAGGACAATCACACCAAAGAAGTGGAGAAGAGCCCTGGCCCCTAAGAGGAGTAGATGCTACCACTCCCAGTTGAAGAGTATCTTGAAAAGACAAGACCCAAAATGCAGCCCCCTCCGTTGCTTTCCAAGGCCCTTTCGGAGGCTACAGGCCCCCACCCCCCACCCACTCACACAACACAACTGCTTGTGTCCCCTTAGTGCAGCCGTTGACCCAAAGGCCCTTCTTCCTCCCCTCCATTCCCATCATTGGCTCATTGCTTATCAAAACCTCTCATCCATCCAAACCTCACCTCCAAATGCTTGTATCTTCGCTGGGACACCTCCACTTTTCATCCCTTAAATGGTCTCTCTCCCTCTCCCATGGTGTGTGTGTGTGATGAGCTTTGCTTTGCTGCTCCTTTTTGAAGGATTCCAGTGTCTAATCCATATCTTCGCCGATAGATGCACAATCCTTTCTTTTTGGGGGGAATGCAGCATTGGTGCTTCAACTTTAGTGAGTTTGCAAATCAAAACGTTCACTTTGGAGTGTCACTATAATTCCTTGATGTTATGATTTCGATATCTTGGCGATATTTGGTGTGATTAGGTTATAATTGCACAGATTCAGTAATCTTTTAAAGGAAAAGGAAGTCCTTGAAACCGTCTTACTAAAAGCCAAAGGGAGTGGTCCACGCCGACTTGTTATCATAGGATTATAACATTGATGTTGATTAGTCATAGATCCACATTTATCAATTTTAAATTGATTGATTTTCTAACAGATACAACGACATAGGAGGTACTACTGTCCTGTCCAGGAAAAGAGACTGGCCGGAAAGATGAAGATTGAGGAGTTGATGAAAGGATCCACTCATGAATTTTGGAAATTTGATAATCTCTTATGCATGTCTTATCTGCCTATCCCATCCATACATACTACATCTATATGCCTATTGGGAGGTCGTTTGGACCTAAATCAATCGTTGGTTGCACTACTGAGGAAGGGGATATCTAGGGCCATTACACGGGTCGATAAAGCCATCATTTTGGTATCAATTTTCACGAGAAAAAAGGGGTAGGATGTGATGCTGGTGTGAAATGTTGGGCTCACTTTGTGTTTTTGCCTATCTGGGCTTCCCATTTGCACTGCTAGCAACCAGTGGAAGTGCCAAACCGTTGAATCGTCTCCTGGTGCAGTTAACTAGGAGTAGCTGATATTTACTTTTATCAATGATAACTGCTCTATTCTCGTGGTTATCAACCTTATCTACAGGTAGTGTTAGTGCATCGATGAAAGTCGATAGTTTTGTTAAATGAAATTTGATAAGTTTCGAGGGATCAGCATAGTTTTGTTAAATGAAATTTGATAAGTTTCGAGGGATCAGCATAGTTTTGTTAAATGAAATTTGATAATTTTTGAGGGATTAGTGAGACAGACAAGCGGTTATAGGCTTCTCGCTGGGGCTCATATAAGATAGCGGCCAAAATACTGAATAGAAAAAGTAGTATGCACATCCATATAACGGATTCTGTACCATTGGCGTATTACTGCTCCTCACTCCTATCAAGTCGTGGAAACACTTGAAATCTCGTTTGTAAAAAGTGCGAATATTAAGATGTCTGGAGGTAGATCGAGCTATGATATCTTCCTTTTATAGGTGATTAAGACAAGGTATCTTGATGGCAGCTAGAGACGATAAATGACCCATCACTCAACTGCCAGCTGCGGCTTCAATTTCATGTCCACAATTAATTAAGCCTAACGTACAGTTTCAAATCACCATTACTTCTGTTGGATTTTTGCACATGTCACCGTCATGTATGCTGGTTGTTCTCCAGCTAGCTGATCCTGACTGGCTAATTAAACTTAATTAATTGCTCTTCGCACTCGCAGCGGCGAAAACCTCAATGGGCATATGGGCGACACATGTCTATATCATAGAAAAGGACGGCACCAACTTGTCACCTATCCATAGATCTCAATTTGATTAGTCCAGATCCCAGCATCACGAATGTGCAATGCAAGCCATCGAATTCACGATTTCATACTTTTGACGTAACATCCGAACCAAACATATCTGCCTGCAGTGCAACTCATGGCTCTTTTAATTCCTGCCCCACTTCAATTCACTGCCTCCCTCCTCAGTTGGAAATACCCTAGATATTTTTTTAATTTAAAGAAATTGTACGGTGGGTTACATGCTATCAACATCGTTTCACTTTAGGCTATGTAACATTGCCTATTATAGTTTAGACAAATTTAAAGAAATTGTACGGTGGGTTACATGTTATATTATAGTTTAGACCACCCTATCTCTCTTAGGCTTCGTTTGGTAGAGCTCCATCTCCTAAATTTAACTTCAAGAGTTGCGTTTAAAGTAGGGTCGTGGAGCAGCTTAAACCTAGCTTTACCTCTTTAGTTCATTTTGTGAGAGTGTTCCACCCAGTCCCACTCACATTTTAGGTGAAACTGAAACTGTTTGGTCGGACTCTAGCTCTAGGAGAGGTGAAGTTAGAGCTGAAGCTGTGCCAAACTTGCCCTTAATCCCTTGGGCCCTGTCTTTTCCCACAGGTTCTACCTTGCAACCTACATGTCCAAGTATTGGCAGCTAACAGATGGTGAGTTAGTGGAGACCTGAATACCTGATGCCCTCCAAGGCTATAATGAGGGTGTCTCATAAATTGCAATGAAGGTGGTGTCACCGTGACATGCACGATGCCTTCCTAATCAAGAGTAATATGGTAATGGGAAGATGCCAACAACTTACAAAACTGGACGGGACGGTGCTGTGCTTGAGCGGCAAAAAACCACTAATGACAAAGTTTTAAAAAAGAGGGTCAGAATTCTCAACATTCAAAATCATCATAACATTTATCACTGATAGGAGTCTGAGTTACAGTGTACATCCTACCCACATGTCAATGACAAAGTCATGTGATTTTTGAGGATACTGGTAAAAAGAAAAAAGTCGGATCAAAGTGCAATTAATGTACATCAACATTACCTAACCTGAAGCTAAAGTTTTGTCAAGACCCAATCTAAGATGTAATATTGGTAAGAAGACCTTGTCTACTGTGCTTGATAATTTGGAAGGCACACCCACATAACACTCACACAAGTGCTCCATCTTGATACCCATTTAGGGCCCCTTTAAATCGCAGGAATAGAAAAACGGAGGAATAGGAAAAACACAGGATTCTGATAGGAATGCAGGTGTAAAACTGAGAATTGGAAAATACAGGAAAAACACAGGAATGACTGTTTGATTGGACCACAGGAAAAACGCAGGAATGGGATGAGAGAGATAGACTCAAAGGAATTTTTCCAAGAGGTTGGACCTCTTGCTAACTTTCCTCTAAAATCTCTATAGGATTACCCATTCCGTAGGAATTTTAAAGAATAGTATAGGATTCAATCCTTTGTTTCAAAGGGTTTCATAGGAAATTTTTCCATAGGATTGAAATCCTTCAAATTTCCTACACTTTTCCTACAAATCAAAGGGGCCCTTAACAATGGGAGACTATAAAGAAATTTGTGAACTTCATGGATTTTAATGAAGCAAAAGCATAAGTTTCTAGTGGTGATGCAGCTACTATTCCGTTCCACACACCGAATGCTCTTTCTCGTGTTTTATAAATATTACATAAGAACTCCCATCAATTTACTCTTCTGCTTATAAGCTGTAGTCAAAAGTTGAATTTTAAAAATTTAATTTTGCAGTGATTTAGGGTTTTTCTCTATTGTAGTTTATTTTCGAGCAATTGCTTTTAAATTGTTAAGAGCACATATATAAAAGTTTTTATTCATATTTTTTTCCTTGATAAGGCGTTATGGTAACCGAAAAGAGATACTCCATCCGTCCCATAATAAAAGGGATTTTGGTTGGATGGGACATATCCTACTACTATAGATTTGGACATACTCTATATATACAGTTATGCATCACAATTTTAATCTTGATGAGTGAAGTCATACATGCACCAGTAAATTAACCAAAGGTGCTTCTTCACTCCATTTAGGAGTATTTATTTGGTCTTATATGATCTGGTCCCTGATGATCAGTATATCCGCCATGAATGATGGTTATCGTCTTCGGTTGTAAGGAAATCAATGGATATTGTGTGATCATTTAATTTCTTCATGCATACGTCTACATTGGTATTCACTGTGAAATGCCAAAAATGATCCCCACTTAAAATGGTCCACACACGTGCAACAACTGCTAGTGATGAAAAAAACCAAAAAAAAAATGTTGACAGTAGCCTAGTATGCAGCTAAAAGTGTACCATAATAAGTAAAGTGCCGGACCACCGAGTCACCGACACAGCGAAACACATGAGGCTACATCTTCCAGAAAAGGAAACGGGAGAAGGGGAGCAAACTGGAATGTGATTCCATCAATGATAGCAAAAGATAAGCTTCGAATAGTGTTGGCTTAGGATAATTAACTATCAACTTAATCAGCCCCGGATAAGAAAAGATGAGGCTAATCTAGCTAAAGAAGGTGTTCCTATCCCTGTCTCTCTCCAGCAACCACGCAGCTGACAGTTACATGGCGCCAAAGCAATCATTTGCTGAGCTCACTGTATGTGCACAGAAATCTTTCTGCTAGGATTCTCTGCACCAGCCGATGGCTAATCTGGAATTCTGGATTGCTTGGCCAGATTTTCTCCCGAGTTACATAGATTCCATAAAGCGAAATCTTACATACACAATGAAAAAAAATGTTTGTTTCTATACCCCCGCCATCAAAGATAGCTATATCAAACAGACGGAATAGAAAATATGTTAATATATTATGGCAAGGTTCATACCCACGTACAATTGTAGTACAAAATTATGGTATGGCATGAAATGTTTGGCAATGGATTATCAAAATTATAAATATTTGTGCAAACTTCAAAATGCCACTTACAATTTGTGTAAAAAAATTTATATAAAATTTTCTTGTAATACTTTACTAAAGCAAAGTTTCAAATATAAAGCAGTTAATTTGTTTGTTTATATTCTTAAGTAGCTATCACAAAATATCAGATTATCTAATGAATCAATCAATTTAACCATCTCAAAAGGGGCATACGTCCTAGAATATGTTACCTTCACCCCACCGGGTTAATGTAACTTTCCTCCTCTATATTTTTTAATATCACACAACATTTCCTCACAATATTGCTATGAAATATTTTAACTTATCTGTCTTGACATACAAGTTATTTTACTAGTATTCTCTAAATATATCACAATTCTTTCATTGTTTTCTTAACTGCCGACAGGATCAAGAAATGGAATTGCTTGAATAGAAAAGTGAATCGCACAAAGTTATTGTTTAATATTTTTTTTTGCTGGGATTGTTTAGTATTTTAACTACGTACTGTGTATAATTGTTAAAATGGCAGAAATTTTACAGTCTGTGCATTATTCTTAAAATGGTAGAAATTTTACAGTCGATCGACTATTTCAAGTATTAATAGATCGACATAGATATCAGTAATTATGTTTTTTGTGGGGTCATGTCATCGTATCCCCCCAGCAAATAATCTTGAGCAGGAGAATGATAAGTGCAGGGGAGTACTAACTTACTGTATTACGCCAAGATCAGAAAGGCCAATCTTGAAAGTATATGTTCTACGGCATAATATGTCACAGTACATATGAGCCAGATCGAACAATGTTCTTCACAGGCCGGGAAGGGAGAAACAGTAAAACTGGCATCCTTTTGTTGCAAAAGTACCCTATATCACTATATCAGTTGATCACAA